TATTTTTATTAATTATTTGGATTTTTTATTGTTAAATAGTTTAATATGTTTAACTTAATAATTTGATAATTATTAAATATTTTTTCATTGCTTCATGGACTTTATTACTATTTTCGTTATTATTTTAACTTGTAATAATTTATTTTTAATTTATAAATTTATATATTTTCAATTTTATTCTTATTTTAATAATTTTTTAATTTCTTATGATTTATCATAATTTGTTCATATTTTTCAATATTATTTTGAATTTAATAAATTATATTTTCTGAAATAGTACAAATTGAACTCAAAATTACCAAATAGTATGTTTTAGGGGTAAAATAGTAAAATTAAAAAATTTTAGATGCTGAAGATTTGATTCAACACAAACAACCTTCTCTCCTCAGAGCCTCTAAAAAGTCGAAAAGCATCAGTCTCTTTTRCAAATTTAAACGTCATTAATATCTTTTTAATTTTTCAGATTTATCAAACGCCACCTAAATTCTCCTATAAGATATACCCAKAATCGACCACTTATTAAACATAATAAATGGGTTTGACCTGAGTAGACCTGATTATATACTTGACATTTATAATTACCTATAATACTAGCAACTTGAAAATTGAAACTTTTTTTGGTAGTAAAGATAATATTATTAAAATTACCAAGAACTAGTGGATAACAACTTGCATCTTCATTTTCGATAATATAGTCTAAAGTAAATAGGAATGGTTTATATTGATGAAACAAAAGTGTTAATCAAAATTATGTTATTTACTGTGTATTATATATATAATTGTTTTATGAAATTTACCCCTTTTGGACAAAATATAATAAAAATTACAAGAAACTGACTTAATACGTTCCAACAACTTYAGGCATTGGTCAAGTACGGTATTAGTGGAAGGGAATCGAAATGATATTTATGCCTTTCTATAATAAACCCAACAGCAGCCCACATGGCAGGATCTAATGGGATTCTCTGCTAGCAAAAACTCTGAACACACAGAACATTTCTCCATAAATTTCTCGATATGGAATCCAGCCCTACATATAGAACATTTCTCCTTAAGTTTGACACATATGTATATGAGATATTCTTAATGTGCCACTGTGTGTGTGGAATTTACGAGAGATCCAATGCTCTTCTAGGAGAGATTTATTGATAGCAAACATATATACACAATTTGAGAGTACAACATCCATMCATACATGGGGAATATCACCCTATGAATTTAACAAACAACCACACGAGATGTTCACAATGTGCATATAGATGCAATGCTCTAGGGTTGTGTATATGATTTTTGCTTTTACGAGATCCATGCCCCCCTTCCAATGGCCATCTAGTATTTTTAGC